GAGACCTCATCTCCGCAAGCAATCAAAACCTCAGCGGGCGTGGTAGCGCGCGCCTGGAGTTGCGGCTACTCGGGAGGCGGAGGCGGGAGGATGGCCGGAGCCCGGCAGGTCGAGGCTGCAGTGAACCGTGATCGTGTCACTGCACTCCAGTCAGGGCGACACAGAGAGACTCCAACTTAAAAAAAGAAATAAAGAGCCGGGCTCGGCGGCTCAGTCTGTAATCCCGCGCCTCTGGGAGGCTGAGGTGAGTGGACTGCCTGAGCCCGTGGGTTCGAGACCCGCCTGGGCAGTGAGACCTCATCTCTACCACAAATCAAACAATCCGCCGGGCGTGGAAGCGCATGCCTGTAATTCCGGCTACTTGGGAGGCTGAGGCGGAAGGATCGCTGGAGCCCAGCAGGTCGAGGCTGGGCGACAGAGTGAGACTCTAACTCAAAAAAAATCTTTTACTATTACTAGAAATTACCATAGAAAAATTAGAAAATAGAGATAAGTAAAAAGATAAAAATCACCCATAACTCCAATGTCCAGAAAAGCATCACAAACATTATGACCAGGGGCGGTGGCTCATGCCTATAATCCCAGCACTTTGGGAGGTGAAGGTGAGGATTGCCTGAGTCCAGGGGTTCAAGACCAGTCTGGGTAACTTGCTGAGACTTTGTCTCTGCATTTAAAAAAAAAAATTAGCCATGTGTGGTAGCACACACCTGTAGTTCCAGCTATTTGGAAGGCTGAGGTAGAAGGATTGCCAGAGCACAGCAGGCTGAGGCTGCGGTGGCTGTGAGCTGGCCCTGAGCGTGTCACTGCACTGCAGCCTGGGCGACAGAGACTCTGACTGAAAAAGAAGCCCAAAACATTTTGGTTCACATTACTTCAGATTTTTCAGGCAAGATATCTTTACCAATTGACTGATCAGCAGTAAGCATACGATGGCACATCTTGCCCTCTGCCCACATGGTGCGCTTACTTCTAGAGGCCACTGAGGAAGTCTTCCTGCCCCTGGCTTTCATCCCACTATCTTTCCCACCCAAGACACTCGACATCGCTTTTGTTTTTCAGGCTCACTCCCACTCGGGCTTCCAGTTCCAGGTTAAAGGTCATATCCTTGAAGAAGGCTTTTCTGACCCCCCAGGCAAGATGTAGATCCCCATTAAATGCTTTCATTTCACCCAATATTTCTTTTCTTTTGAGTTGAGTCTCACTCTATCACCCAGACCGGAGTGCAGTGGCACGCTCCCGGGCACTGCAGCCTCGGCCTGCTGGGCTCCGACGATCCTCCCGTCTCAGCCTTCCGAGTAGCTGGAACGACAGGCGCGCGCTACCACGCCCAGCTCATTTTTTGATTTATTGTAGAGATGAGGTCTCGC